GGGGACATGGGGGAGTGACAGCTCTCGGAGTAGCACTTCTTGCATAGTTCTGACTTTTAGAGCCATGTTAATGGAACATACCCCAAAAGTCAGCCAGGATGTTGGGGAGGGAGAACCCAAAAAGAAATACAAATAGTAACATATGAACCTAATTGAATATAAATGATCACAAACTAACTACAATGAACAATATAAGTGGATGGGGAAGAAAAGAACTAACCCAATGTAACTTTGGAAAACAGTATTTTAACTATATATACTAAGGTTAAATTAAATTTGTTTCCTGGGGCACCTGGGTGGCTCAGTTGGTTGAGCAGACAACTCTTGATTTTGGCTCAGGTCATGATTCCAGGGTCATGGGATCAAGTCCTGGATATGGCTCTGTGCTGAGCATGGAGCCTGCTTGAGATACTCTCTCTCTTCCTCTGTCCCTCTCCCCCACTCACGAGCACTCTCTCTCTCTAAAATTAAAAACAACAATAATAAATTGTTTCTCATAGGAGTATGAGTTATCAATTGTGAAATTATGAGTATTCTAGGATTGAGCAAATAAGTAAAATAAAGAAAGCAGAATTCTGGAATAAACCCTGTGATGCTGGACAGCCATCAGAGGTATCAGAACGAATTCACGGTCATACACACACAGGGCGGAGACGGGGCAGGGGAGAGAAACAAATACAGATGTGTACAGGTATAGATATTCATATACCTAGCTTTGTCAGCTGAGGGGATCTAGGAGCAATGACACCCAGTAGCATGAGGACACTTGGTGCTCAGATCCTGGTTTCTAAATACTATTCTCCAAGAAAAAGAATCGGGACTCCTTGAACACCAGGGCTAGATCAGGACAAATACAAGTTGAGCCTGGAGTACCCTGTGACACCAGAACGCAAGGAAGTGCTTGAAAAATTACAGGGACATGAGAGGACATGGGAAGGGTTTTCAAAGGCCAAATCTGGGACAATTTAGGCAATGACAATGAGAGCACTAGGTTATAACCCATAGAAGACAACGTCCATGAGTCCATACTAATAAAAATAAATAATTAAATCAATGAGGAAATGAGGGAGAAGGGACAGTTCTTTCAGGATTCCATTAATAAGTGTAGAAAGATGAAAATTACCACTAACCAAACATCACAGTCATAAGTGTTTCAAGAATCATCACTGGATCATAAAGCCAGTGGGCAGAAGTATGAAAAACAGAGTATTTGCATATTCTTAAGGTATCTCACAATAAGGTAATTATTCATCATACAGGGAAAAAATATGACTTACAGTGAAGAAATCTGCTAGACACGACCTTCACTGAGTAATCAAGCTTAACATCACCAGTAATAAGACATACTGACATCACGTGTCTGACAAAGGCACATCATTTCGGTGGTGCTTTTGCCAAAAACACATTATCTGACTTTACTTGTGAAGAAAAATCAGAAAAACAAACAGGTTGAGGTATTTCCAAACAAACTTCCAGTCTCCAAGTCATGAATGACAAAGACAGAATGAGGAACTGTCCCAAAATAAAGGAGACTAAGACATGACAATTTAATGCAATGTGGGATCTTGTTTCCCCCTAAAAAAGACACTTAAATTTAAAATCTGAATAAAACTTGATTAAGATTTGTAGATTGGGTTGTAATGTACAAATTACGGATGTTGTGTCAAAGTTAATTTTCTGCGTTTATTGTATTGTAGTCACAGATAACATTTGGAACCCTTTGAATTACTTTTGGAAGTTTTTTTGTAAGTCTCAAATTATTTTATAATTATTTTCAAACTTTTTAAAAAAGTTTTACTTACTTTTAAGAGACAGAGAGAAAGCAGCGGAGGGACAGGGAGAAAGAGGGAGAAAGAGAGAATCCCAAGCAGGCTCTGTACTGTCAGCACAGATCTTGATGCAGGGCTCAAACTCAGGAACTATGAGCTGAAATCAAGAGTCAGATGCTTAACCAACTCAGCCACCCAGTCACCCCTATAATTATTTTTTAAATGTAAAGTTTAAGATAATCCAAAAGAACTATAATAAACTCTTTTGTTACTAAAATCCAGCATACTTGTCAAAAAATGAACAGTAAGGCTTGAGAGGCAGGCCGGGCCAGATCATGTCTGGATTTGGTAGCCATGGTAAGGGATTTAGGTTTTTTACCTTAGGAGCAATGAAAAACTACTGAAGGGTTTTAAGAAGAGCTTGGTATTGAGTCAGTTTATCAGTGAGGGCCCAAACAGGAAACAGATGGCACAACTGAAATAAGATAATTTGAGGAAGATTTATTTATAGGAGACTATAAAAGTATAGGTAGAGAGAACCATCCAACTAAAGCCAACAGGTGGATAGAGCAGGAAAAGGGGAACTCAGGCTGATAAGGAGCAGTTAGCAGTTTCAAAGGGGGTGAAGGCCTGAAAATGAAGGAGAAAGGCAGAAGGAGGGAGGTAATCAACAATGTCAATGAGTAGAAGCTGAAAAATGGTCTGTGGGTACAGTCATGTGGTCAATGTGTGACAGTGGTGAGAGCTGTTTCAATAAAACAATAATGGAGGAAGGCAGACCAGAGCAAGCTGAGAAGTTCTAGAATGAGGAGATGGAGACAACTCTTTTGATATGTGTGGCTATGCTGGGGAGGGGAAGGAAACACAGGACAGACATCACTCCGTAAACTTTCCAATTATCCATTGTGAAATCAACTGCAACAGTGGGAAGACCTTTAACAAATTTTCTAAAGCAAGATAATTACAAAGAATGGCTCTTTGTGGAAGCTTAACCTTATCTACAAAAATGACTCTGTTAACAAATCATAACCAAACAAAATGTTCGACCTTAGTACCCAAATGGCGCCCCTCCCCTGCTTTCCAAATCCAAACATGTTCATTAAGAAATAGAAAGTTTCCTAAGATCACAGGTTGTGGTGATATTGACGTTTTCATCTGAGAGCAGTAGGCATGATTTAGGGGATAGACAATGTGATAGCATTTCTAGCACCTCAAGCTAAAGCAAAAGATTTAAAGAAGATTCTTTTGCTATGTTATGTCTTCAGAGAAAATACAGACCACACAAATACAGCAATGTTTTATATGACTGCATAGTACCTATTTTCCCCAAAACATAGTAACTTAGGGAAAAATCAAAGCTTTAGTTACAACTGCTGTTGCTTTTTATTCTAGTCTCTTAACCACACTAGTTTCTAGAATCCTGCATCTAGAAGGTTCTTTCAGGTTCCAAAGGAGTTTAGCATGTATGTTCTGGGTGCTGGATCCCACTGCTCCTTGTGCACGTTCTGAGAAGAGCTACACTACTTGACCTGTCTCTTGTCACCACCTGTCTTACATGCTCCTGCCATCATTCACAGCTACTTCTAAGTGCTGAAAGTTTTTGCTCTCCTACGGCTTGTAGCCCTTTGAGCCAATCTTACATGGTCTAGCAGTTTTGCTAGCTGTGGTCCCACTGAGCAATCTGACTCCCTCCACGACTGCAGGTGGTCCATGTGCTTGCCCAGCTTCCCACGGTTGTTCCCTTCCCCCCAAACTAAGATTGCTGGCCAATTCCCCTTCTTGCTCTCTCAGCCTTGTTCTCTTTCATTCTAAGACAGGATTACAGTCTCTTTTGCTGCAGTCATAAAGTCTCTATCATGTTTTCTTGCAGGGCACTCTTGTGAACCCAGAGTTCCTGAGGGAAGGCTTGCAGATTAAATGTCCAGCATAGCCCTAATTGCTAGATTACTGCTTTTCAAAAGGTGGTAATTCTCAAAATAAAAATGTGCAGCTGGGCAATCCTCATTGTACAAATATACACTTTAAAAAATTGTAGTATCTTTTTGAGACCATTTTCCCTGAAATTTGGTTGAAATTGGCCTGAAAGGTCAAATTAGGTTACACACAGAGGGCATAACATTTTCATTTCTTCATTCCACTGGAAGTCAAGTGAAACATAGAGATAGCTGATATTGAATCATCCTGAATTTCCAGCACTTAACAATGTATTTTTAATAACTGAAAGTTAGTGTTATTTCTTTTTCTCTAAAACAAATACACTTGTTTGGGGGACTGTTTTTAATTAATTCCACTGTATGGTTCTTAATCTTTTATACCAATACGTTTTTTTTTTCCTAAGAGAAAGAACAAGGAAGCTTTTGTTTTTGTAATAAAAACAGTAGAATTCAGACTAAGAATCTAACTTTTAAATGGAGGTTAGTGGAAGCTCCTAATTTTTAATACTCCAATTACACAATAGCAACAGGGGATGCCAGAGTGGCTCAGTTGGTTAAGCATCTGACTTTGGCCCAGGTCATTATCTCACAGTTTGTAGGTTCAAGCCCCATGTTGGACTCTGTGCTGATAGCTCAAGCCGGGAACCTGCTTCAGAATCTATGTCTGCCTCTTTCTCTCTACCTCTCTCCCATTCACAGTCTGTCTCTCTTCCTCTCTCTCTCAAAAATAAACATTAAAAATTTTTTTAATTAAAAAATATCTTACAATAAGTAAAAAAATAAATATCTAACTTCATAAAAAAAAATTATACAGTAGCAAGTGAAGTTAAATTTCCTCTTTTAATTCTTTAAATTTCAGTTTCCTCCCCTGAAATCCTGCTGAGAATAAGCAAATGGTACATTAAGATGGCTGGGAAGTATTTGCCTGGGGAGCTCAATCTAACAGGCAGTAACAAAGGGAGAGAAAACATATGAGCTTAAAGGTAAAAACTGCTAGAAAGTAAAAAGCTTACCTTCCACCTGGGTCACATGCATTCAATCCATGTTTGTCACATGGGGTCAACAGCCTCTGTGAATGTCCTTATACAGCATCTGGATTTTCAGAAAAAGCCAGACATTCTCAAACTTCAAGAGGCATAAAAATATCTTTCAAGTCAGTTCCTTTAATTATAAAAGTGTTAGCCAAAGAAGAAAATTTCCATAACTGAATTTTTAATTGAGTCTTAAAAAGTCCTTTCTACTTAAAAAAAGTCACAAAAAAGCATTTATGGGTATATAGAAGTATGTCCAAACATAATCCAAATTTCTTGATTTTAATGTTTGAATCCAAATCCAGCATACATTTAACTCTCCATTTGCTTTCCAACAAGCTAAAATTTAAAGGAAAAAATACATTTTCTCTTCCCAAATATAAGTGGCATAAAACTATATTTGGTTTCATAAGTCAAGAAGCATAACTACCTTTAGCTAAAACCCAATAAAAAACATATATAATGCAGATTCCTTTAAATTAAAACACATTACAGCATATATATATGTGCATCCATGCTGGATGAATGTATAATTTGTAAAAGGAGGTAAAATATGCATATTCTATGTATATAACCAAGGCTGAGGAATTTAAGCGCCTAGATTACACAATACCTTGACAAAACTTTTTTATCCTAAATCATAAAATAATCCCTTGAGAGTTGCTACTAGATGAAACAACAAAAACTTTTATCCAAGACTTAGCCCTTTTTATTGACTTTTCTCTCCTTCATGATGCTCTCACAAAAGATCAATTACATATTTTTTCCAAATGTAAACATCAGACTTTCGAGCCATAGTGTACGGTCCTTAGAAACCATTCATTTCTTCAGCTCCTCCTGAGCACCTGGGATGGTAGAGTCTTGGCCTCTGAGCTCCTCTGTTTCCTCCTTGAAAGCAAACTCAGCAGGTACCGGCTGGTCCTGTACCCCGGATTTCACGGCATGAGCTGCATAGTTAAGGCTGGTGTTTTCAGTCCAATGCCAGTAACCTGACAGGGGGTTGTAGAGCATTCCTGCCACACTTTGAACTGACAGACCATCTGGGAAAAGAGAAAAGCAGAAAGAATGGATTTAATAAGTATTTACCTTCCAAATGCCAAGACTCTATTGCAGCTCTGTATTAAAAAAGGATTCCTAATTCAATGGGAAAAAATACGTACAGATCATTCCTCATTGTAACACAGAACATAAAACTCTAAAGCCGACTGCTTGGGTTCAAATCCCAGCCTGGCACAAATTCAATGGTGACCCTGTGCAAGTCACTTAACCTTTCTGAATCTCGGGTTTTCTCACATGGATAGAACATATAGTCATAGAATTGTTGGAATTAGATGAGATATGTGTATAAAGTAGCACAGTGCTTGGAATTGGTTAAGTACTTAATAAACATAAGCTGTTTTTAGAAAACATCTGCCAAAAGTGATTGCTCCTAGAAAGCATCTTAAAATATTTTCTCCTCCTCTGTTTTCAACAATTGCTTAGAGAAATCTTTAGAACTTCCTACATCACAGTGGACTGATAATATTCCAAGTAAAATCGATTCTGATATACTGTTATGTGAACAAAACCCTGGAGACATACATGAGTTTAAGTACTCAAAAGGAACACCAAAGGCCAACTAAATATTCTTACTTGACAGGAATTCCATATGTAAATCACAAGCTCACAGTATGTAAAGCAGAGCTAAGCACTGCAAGGGGTACAAAAAGAAGACAGTCTTGCCTTCATAGGCCAGACGGGGCTTAAAAACATCCAAAGAATCATAACACAAGGCATGCTATAAGTATCATAAAATAAACAAAAAGTGACCAAGAAGTTCAAAGTATATCTGAGTTTGGAGGAACCTGAAAAAATAACATGTAAGATAAACTGATGCACGCAGGGACTCAATAGGATGAACTGAGGATGTGTAAGTAATAGACATCTGTACCTGATCCTTCAACAAGTGAGGACTAAGCAAACCAAAAAGTATTCATTGATCATCTGTGATTTGCTTGGCCCTGGGTTAGGTGCACCCGGTAAGACAGAAGTGGTATCTAATACTTAATCCTAAATTCAAGGACTTTATGATCTGATTGAGAGATGAAACCAACATCCAAGGAACAGTGGCCCATTTAATTAAGGGCTAGGCTGTGCGATTAACAATTACAGGTATATTAAAAGTTCAGTTAGGCTTTAAACACTGGAAAAATTCTTAATACTTACTTGATTCCAAAATGCTCTCTAGCTTTTCAGGTGATACAAACTTCTCCCATGTATGAGTACCTTTTGGTACAATACCTGCAATTTCCTCTGCAAAAACAATTCCCAAGGCATAGGACAGCTGTGTCTTGTTGATTGTAGTAATGAATAAAGAACCACCAGGCTAAAACCAAAAATTGTATGGACAGAAGTCACATTTTAGATATCAGGGGTATCAGTTGGGTAAAGGCTTGGCTTCCCCCACCTCCTCCTTCCCTCCAAATAATTTAAGTGCAGTTAAGATACATAAGTATAAAGTATAATTTACCAAAATACTTTTCTGTTGGGAAATTCATTATTAAAGGCAGTTTATTACAGATGTACTCACCGGCTCTATGCAACAGTGCTTAGAACTCTTAAAATCACACTGTGACAGGTTTATAGTAGATACTTTCTTTTGTACATATCAAATATTTTTATAATGAAAACATAGAAATGAGATCAGGCTACTCTTCCTTGTTGCACGTCCACATTTACAGTGTAACGTGTCAATGCTGTTTTCCTTTGGGAGCTGAGTCCATCTAACTTGTTTGGTGCAGCATACAGCCCCGTTCTCGTGAAGGTGAGTAACGCCAAGTGACCTCTGATGAAAATGTTAACGATTAAGGTCCGAGTGTTTTCTGTTTCATTTTGATTTCATTAGTATAAAGAATACGAAGAGATCAAGATAAGCACTTAGATGAACACAAACCATTTATGGGACTATTTAGTCTGCCATTTTTTAGTGGCTGTACTTATGGTGTTTCCTATATTTATTTCCACAAATGGCAAAGAGTAATGTTCTCTCCCTGTTTTACATATTCTCATTAGTCTGATGGGGATAAAGTGACAAAGGTTCCTTTCAAAATAATTATCTATACGTATGAGTGTGTATAGATACATAGAAAGTGAGAGAAAATATCTCAAATACCACCCCAAAACAAAAAAGGATGAAACCCTGAAATATTGCAAAGTGCCCTTAAATTAAAAACTGAAATATAGATATTATTTAGTCACACATTGTAGCTTTTCTCTCTAAAACTCTAATATTCTAAAATATCTTATTAAGAATCACTTATATGGGGCGCCTGGGTGGCTCAGTCAGTTAAGCGTCTGACTTCGGCTCAGGTCATAACCTCATGGGTCATGAGTTCAAGCCCCACATTGGGCTCTGTGCTGACAGCTCAGAGCCTGGATCCTGCTTCAGATTCTGTCTCTCTCTCTCTCTCTCTCTCTCTCTGCCCCTCCCCTGCTCACGCTTCATCTCTTTCTCTCTCTCAAAATAAATAAACATTTTAAAAAAATCACTTATATGTTAGAGCAGCTGGGTGGCTCAGTTGGTTAAGTATCTGACTCTTGATTTCAGCTCAGTTCATGATCTCACGGTTGGTGGGATTGAGCCCGCCTGGGGCTCTGTGCTGGTAGCGCAGAGCCTACTTGGGATTCTTTCTCTCTCTCTCTCTCTCTGCCCCTCCCCTGCTTGCCCTCTCACTCCAAAATTAAATAAATTAAACAACAATAACAGAGAATCACTTACATGTCAATTATATCTCAATAAAGCCAGGGAAAAGAATAGCTTGTGAATAATCTGTGTCCTACAAAATCTTACTCTAAGAAAAAGGGGTAAGAAATGGTCATTTTTTTTAAATAGGCTTTCCATTAATGCAGAAATTAGTTTTATTATTTTTTTTAGAGCAGTAGAATAAGATATTTTATTTTGTGATAATATTAATACAGAAAATTTATAGGGTTTTCCTATTTACCAGGTGCTATGCTGATATATGAATTACCTTTTTTAATCCTCACAAAATCTCTATGCATTGAATAATATTAGTATGGTCAGGTTTACTAACCAAAAGAAAGAGATTTAT